GTAAGTACATCAGTTCATGTCGCCATACCACACTAGCACAGAGATGTAATTGTCAATTCAAATCCAATAGTAGAAGAGATAGTAAAGGTATTAGGAGTAATCGGAGAGGTTAGGATTAGAAGATATTCAAGAAATATGATTCAGTGAGAAAAGTTTAGAAAGTCAAAACTAGAGGTGTTGAAGAATCCAGAAGATTAGGATTTGAGAGAACACAAAGAATAAATGCACCGGCACCATTGCGAACGATTTTGAGCCATGTCATTCAGGGTATCTAACCATCGATTATTATCATCTCGCGGACCCCAACCAGGTAGTCGACAATTACCGACATGGCTAAGTCCACTCGTCAATGACTTCATGGATTTGTGCCATGTTTCGGTTTGGCCGCCCCTAGCTTTCTTCCAACCTATTCCTACACTACAAAACAAAGCTCTTCGAGGCAGTCGGTGGTTAGGTTATGGTTAGGTTAGGTTAGGTTAGCGTATTAACTGTTATTGTATTCGAAAACTATGTGAAAGTTTCAATACTTACTAATTTACGAACTCATCTACTTCACCAGTTGCCCAGTTATCAGATGCTCATATATTTATCCTTACACTTTGTCTGATCATTTAAACTATATTAACCGTACAAACTGCCTTTAGAAATAAGATTACTTCTAAACTTGAAATATTTTCAATACATAAACTATATATATATATATATATATCCTTATATTTATTTTTCACATTTGTTCACGTAAATAAAAAACTGTTATCACGAAGTTACTACTTTCATTGTACACATCTTTGTGTTTGAATTTGTAATTGTAAAATTGATTTCAGTGATTCATAGAACCACACATTTTTTTCTGGGAAAAACAATGAAAGTCACTTTTTATATTTAGAATGGAAAAGACAAATATCAGCAATAGTGAACTTGGCATAGATGTGTATCAGCACAGGTTACCATATCATATTAACATGATGAAATAAAAAATCACGAGATGAATAGTCAAAATGATAGGAACAAAATAATCATGACAATTGGAGCAATACTGAAACTCAATTTCGAGAAGACGACCAAGATTGAATATATCTTTGTCATTGTGAAGAATGTTGAACCATCTCATACAAATCCTCTAAACACTATTTGCTGACATTATGCGTAGCCCAACCAGGTAATTTGTATCTACCAGCATGGGTTAGATCAATAATCACTGACTTTACATGCTATAATACCGCATATATCATATTGGCAATATTTTATTATGCTACATTGAAATGTAACGAAACCTCTCAATCGCATCACTCATTAAATGTTTTTTGAAGATGAACTATTTATTAATTTAAGCGTAATTGAGGACCTTTTTTAGAATTTTTAACATAATATCTCATATAATAAAATGGGAGAATAATAAATAAATGACCGATTTTTAAAGATATTTTCCTAATATTGAAAAGTTTGCTTTCATCATCAAGCTTAGTGTTCATATTAGTAGATAATTTCTGTTTCCGAAAATAACATGGTCAATTAGAAAACTAGGATAAAACATTTGTTAGTTCAGTCCACTGTAGCATTTAGGCTAAATTAAAAGTCAGTAACACGACCTGGAGCAGAACTGTATAAGTTATTTGAAGCTTAGTAATCGATTACGCTTACATTTTAAAAATATATTTATTTGTAGTATGTAGACAAGTCAGTAAGAGGACTGATATTTTTCCGAAATCTACTTTTCAGTTATTAACAGTAATGACCAAGAGAGTACCGTTTAGGCAGGACCTGACATTACTATTCAGTTAAAATTGCAAGTATTAATCACAAATAAGATAGTTTGGTAAATACAAATTCAAGAAGAAAATTCTAATTTTGTAACAATCAAGAAACTGTTTTTCACATCGGGAAACGAAATAAAACCACCCAACCTGTTATTTGTTTACTCAACACATGGCACATTTTAATCACGTAGTTCCAATAAAAAACTGAAATAAAACTGTAGTATACGGTAAAAACACAAGTGGAAGACATACACTAAATAGAAATTCATCGATCAAAAAAAAACGTGCGGGGAGAATAATTATTATTCATAATTCCATATAAAATAAATGTAGAAATTTTATTCTACACTGGAAAAAGTACTAGTAACTGTTTTTGAACAGAATTTAACTGGACATACATAAAAAAACACAACTAATTCTAAACTAAGCTTAAATATCCTGTTTTACACTTCAAATGGAAGCTGTAAACAGTCTTTGACCTCTTGTATCGAATATTACCGACTTTAACTGCAAATAGGAAAGACCCGAAATCGTCTCAAGAATCTTCTCGCACTAGTAACTGTTGAAGATGTTAGATCCCCAGAACTCGTTTGCTAAATGCCTTATTTTGGATTTCACGTTCGAGAGCATGGGCTGATCAGTTGACCTTGGGATTTCATTTCCCACCAGTAAAATCCTTGTCTGTGATTGGCTGCTGTGTATTTTAGTGTGCTATTTTTGTGACTGTCCCAAGGACGTTTCTATGATGCATAAATAAACGAGAGTTTGTAACGGAGTCAAAATCACTATGTGTGATGTTGCTAACTTGTTCTGTTTTCTTTCTGTTTCAGGGCGATCTAACACAAATGCTTTGGAAGCCGAAGAGCAAGCCCTGAGTGCTCTAATCCTACAAGATGACTCATAAGACATTGGTACTACTCCCACCCTCTTCCTGTAAAAACCCCCGCGTTTTTGATTTTGAAAATAAAGAGTTCCGTGACAACAACCTTGTGTTCTCTCTTGGTGTGAGGTGTCGAATTAACCCTGTGTGTTGCGATTTAAGATTTCCTCTGCCTTTCACTGACTGCCGATTACGCGTGTTACAGTTGTGTGCTTGATTGTATTGTGCTCGCTAGGTTTTGTAGAATATACTCTCTACGCTTATCAAGACTTCTCTTTTGCAGTTTTGGGATCAAGGTAGCCTACCTGGATGCTGGTAATTGTCTGATTGGCGTTTATCGACTAAGGTAAACTCGTAATAGCTTCAAGCGTACCTAGTGACGAACCTAACAGTAACGTTGTTGTAAGACATCATTAACTACCTGATATGAGAAGAGTAAATACAAAGGTTTTAAGAAAAAAAGCTATATTTTAGAGACACTGCAGCAGCAGACTAATTTAAAAAGTACAAATAATGTACACACTTGAATGAAGTATGTAGAAAGGCTGTAATTCATTCCTAGACAAGCAAACAAAGCTTTAAAATGTACAATTACCAAAAGATTGACCTATATGTTAAGAGCCAAGTTAAATGATGATACTACAGATTTATCTTGAAGGAACAGGTTTTTTTTATAATCCACAAATTTTATTCAGTGTGACTCGACTCTCTAATCGTCAGTTTTGACAACATGTTCAAAACTGAAAATTGACAACTGAGAAATTCCAGTTCATGGTCTGAAGTGTGACATTTGCCGATTTTATCAAACAAATGATAGTAAAATTCATCTACGAATAACTTTATAGTACATTTTTTCAGTTGTCTATTCTATTGATGTCAGTTTAACAGTCAAAATGCACATTTTATTTAATCAAGTTAGTAGTAAATTGGAAACGCTCAAATTGAGAAACAAACTACGTTTGGTTACCATACACTAATACTTTACATGAGCAAATTTCTTTTATTTACACTATCAATAATTTACTTTATGGCTATGAAACTTGTTATTTGAAATCTAGAAAACGTTGAGTTCACTAAATGCTTAGTGACTAAATTTCCTATTTGTACATATAAATTCCAAACGCTTTTCTTAAGAAATCGTGAAACTTGGTCAAGTCATTTAACCACTTCGTCGAAAATTTACTTGATTAATTATTCTTCTAAATTGAACTGAAACTATTATGGATTGAAAAATCTGATTCATTTTTCCCCGAGTGATTACAGAGTTTATTATTGAAACTAATGAAACTGAATATACTCCAATTTTTCGATTATATATCGTTTAGAATATTTCGACTCAGTTTAAAATCATGAACACCTAATTACACTGCGTTTGCATTGCAAAAAAAAATGAAACTATGAGATTTTGTATTGGATGACAAAATCTTTCGTACATATTTTGCCCCAACAAAACACAAAAATAATGTCATAGATGAGCACTATTCATTTTTGTTGATAATATCAAGTGAATAAACTGGCTTTGTTCAAGAAGGTTTCTATTAAGAAGTTTCTTACAAATTTGGTAAGTGTTATAGATTATCAGATTATCAGAAGCTTTATTTGTATTACAGAATAAGGCCCGCGATAAACATAGACACAAGTAACGGATTTATTGACAGAGGTAGTGTATTCCGTCGGTGATTAAGACAAGTTACTATTAAATTCTCATGATGTACTTTAGATCATAATACAATGATGATAATATAAGAAAGTAACAGCATACGACTAAGGTGACATAAATAAGGCATTAACAAAAAACGTCTATTCAAAACATAAACAAACTGACAATATATAAACTGTGAACAAATTGAAACTCACCTGTGCAGGCGAAACAAATGAATGGTCAGTTCAATATTATTGGTTACTTAACTTATTTCCTTATTTGAAAATCACCAATCAAAAGTGGATTTAATCTTGTAAACTGACCTTCAAGGTTATCTGTATACGGGTTAAACAGACAACAACTATCTAATGGCTTAAACACATGATAATGTATTATTCATAAATTCCTATTCAGATAAGTAATGATAAAAACGTTCCCAATAAAAATGGTGGTCTTAGCTTCAATAAGCATCTTTATTATACAGATCTCTGTTTAATTTACAATAACTTCAGATCAAATGTGACATCAAAGTAATCACAAATCACTAGATGGTTTTCTGTTTATTGTGGAATACCGAAGTTTCCTAACACTGTCAATGACCAGAATATAAGTTTACAAAAATAACATATCATAATAAATGGACAAAGGTTGGCAACAGGTTGTCTGTTAGACCACACCTTTACAATACTAATACTCACTATCAGAAACCCCCACCTGGTAAATGCCTTCAAATTCTACATTTCCTGGGTCTAGTTGTAAAGAAGTACTGAAATCATTCTGTCGATGGACCAGTGTACGTGGATTACAGCATTTAGTTCGCTCAGAGCACCCACTACTTCGTACAATTTGGGCAATATTTGTGGCGCTAATGTGTTTAGCTAATATTGGCCTGGTTACTTTGCTGTTGATACATTACTATCAGTTTAATACAATTGAAAATATACGTACTCTACGAGGAATTCACGTAGCCTTTCCACATATTACTTTGTGCAATGTTGATCCAGTCAACTCATACCGTGTATATTGTCTACAAAATCCGAAATCAAAATATTGTAATATCAATCCGAAATATTCAAATATTTTAACTAAATATCAAGAAGCTAATCGATACTTCAAAACTTACAAAGGTTCAACTATCTGGCACAAACTAGAAGATCCAAGTATGGTAGCCATCTTTTACCAATTAATTGGTATGGAAGCAGCTATACAAATCGGTCATCAAATGGATGATTTTATTATACCAATCTTTTGTGAAGTGACTACAAGAGAGAAAGGTGGAATATTGATGAAACGAAAATGTGAAGAAGCTGGTATTCAAGGTTTACATTTAATTACTTATAAATATTTCAACTGTTACACTTTGTCAATGGAAAATATTCACATAAGTCACAATGCTGTCCGATTATCAATGATATTATATTTAGATGAGGAAGAAGATTTGAATTGTCGGCCTTATTGTACACATGAATTTACAGAATGGGCTGGAAGTAAAATTGTTGTTCATTCACCCAGTTCATATCCTGATATTGAAGCATCTGCTTTGAATTTATTACCAGGTGCATCAAATCAAATTCTTATCGATGGTATGCATCGTATTGAAAAAAAGAATATGGAATCAAAACCATGTGAAAATAATGAACGAAATTTTTCCATTGTTTATTTTGATCATGCTCAACAAGAATTTAAACAAAGAACAATGGGTTATACAGACACATTATGCATGCAGTTATTGATACAAAGTGCAACAATGGAAGAATGTCATTGTATTGATTTTTTGATGCCTATACCTGGTACACAAATGGAATTAGTTAATCAGTTACCATTCTGTGGTAATTTATCTCGTTCCACTGTTAATGAAAGTCTTGATTGTAGTCAACAGGTGAGACAAAAAAACTCCAAATACTTCCGTCATCTATGCCCGATTCCATGTGTACAAATGCAGTATAATTATGAATTGACTCAATTAAGATGGCCACAAAAACCGCGTATATTAAATTATTATGCTCAGCTGAAAGATCGTTTCGATTATAATCGAAAATTTGATATTTATGAAAAAATTGAAGAAATCTCTATGATCAATGCAACACAAGCGTTAACCATGCTACAGCACACAGATATATTTGAGAAGAATTTTCTACATGTTGATGTTAATCGCCCGAATTTCGATACATTAATGTCTTATAGAGAAAATGAAGAGTACACTTTACCAACATTATTAAGTCAAATCGGTGGAATTTGCAGTATATTTCTAAGTTTCACTTGTGTTACAGTACTAGAGTTAATTGAACTATTATGTAGACTAATCACTATTATATATCCAAGATTGCTAACTGTTTCCAAAAATGCAATACATTATTTAAATATGAAAACTTTAAAATTAAATTATACCACATCTACCAATGATAATAACAACAAAACTAAAACTACCTTGAATGAATCAACAATGAAATTATCAACACTTTTGTATGAAAGACATGAAAATCACAAACGTCGTGATACTTATGTTAATTACACAAAAGCTAATATAGTAAATACAATCAATGATAATGATGAATTGAATTGTTTCAAAGAATTATTACTTACTAATAAAACTAATAGTAGCAGTAGTAGTAATATCAATAATATTAAACTTAGAGAATATTCTTACATTGGTTTATCTAGCAATGACATAGAAAATTATCTAACAAATAATTTTATACAAATTCATGAACCAGATCATAATTATATTGCGCATAAACCTACAATACAATTACACTCTAATTCAAATTATCAAAATAGAAATCAATCAAAATGTAATTTAGATAATTCATTTACTAATCCATATCATGAACAAACAAATAACAATTTCATCTTACATCACATTTTCAATCAGAATGATGAATGTGTAAATAATAATAATAATAATAACAGTAATAACAATAATTTGAATAATTATCAATTAAAGACAAATCGATATTCAACAACACTAACACCACCAACAATGATTATCAGATCCAAATCATTTCCTGACTTATTTTTATTACATCAATATAATTAATCAGTTAGATTGATATTCATTTCGTTTCGTTTCGTTTTTTTCTTTTTTTAGTAAATGTGATAATGACTTACAAAATTTATTGATTTATTGCGAAATACAAAAAAAAATAGAATCATTTCATTATTCCTGATTCATTCATACACCATTGTACATGTTCCTTTTATGTGCATTGAATGATCATTGTAAAATCCATTCATGTCCGTAATTCATTGTGTTTTTTTTAATGATTATTAGAAAAGCTCAAATGTATTTAATAACCTGTATATTAATTATAATGAATAATTTTATGACAATTATTTATGATAACATGAATCATGAATGATTCACAATGGATCATTGTGTACATTTTAATGAATGAAGGCAAAAATGATGATCATTGTGAACTTATCTCAGGGTTTATTTTATGTTCCTTTTTATTCTTAAAAAAAAATAATAATTCTTGTTTTATCGATTTTTGGATAGATTACAAATACGGATTATTAAATTATTAAATCAATGACACTAACATATTGGGATCAATGCCTGTTTAGTTGAATAATTTTGGTTGAGTTATTAGAAGAAAAACAAAAACGATCGTATCAATTTTTATCATTATTAAATTACAAATGAACAGAATGAAATTAACTAAATTGTAATTGCAATGACCTTATTAATCAATAAGTTATATGATTATTATTATTACTATTATTATTTTGTATGAAACAGTTGATATCCAACTAAAAATTCAAATATAATTCACTTTTGTAGTAAGTTTGCATTCGTTTTTTTTCTCAACTGAACTACAAATCACTCATCTATTCACAATCTCTATACGCTCTGTTACTTTTCCAAGGAATGAAAACTGGTGTGACATAGTTAAAATGATATAATTATTACTCTTCATCTTTTTTCATTTTAGTTTCAGTGACATTAGAAAGTGATTAACTATACCTTACATGTTCTAGATCAGTAACGATAGATAAACTAGTGAAGATTTATTATACAAAAAACCAGGTTACAAACAAGGTCGCACTTGATAATCTGTGCACGAATGAAAAATTATGCTGTTAACTAGTAGTTTCCTAAAGATTAACTCTGCATGTTTCTTATCCAACCTTTTGAAAAAAGAAAGGAAGATTATAAGACTAGAATTTATGCAAGTTTTGGATAGGAAAAGAGTTTGCAGAAGATAAACCGATAGGCAACTTTCGGTACCAAGAATGAGTGACAGATAATGACTGATAGAAAGAAACATTTATTCGATATATGTATTTTGATTGATAACAATTTTAAAGTATGTTAAACAGAAATGTGTCACTAAATTACGGTAAGCAATTTAAAAAAATAGAGATAATATACTTTAACAGTATTACATAGAGAGAGAATGTAGAACAAATCATTATCACATATAAAACGAGTACATACCATATATAACATTCTGAATAAATGATATCATAGTTTCAGTGAGATAAGTAACAATGAATTATAGAAATATTAAATTAAAATTCCAAGAAAAATAAAAAGCATTCTCTTATATCACTTGAACCTCTCACCATCTCCACAAACTACAATTAAAATTATCATCTCTATATATAAATAAATTAGATCTTTGCAGATATAAGATTGTTGATTACCCATCGGACAATGGTTTACTTGTAGTTACCAGATGAATTATTATACGTAACAGTCAATTAAAAGTGAATTTCGCTTGAATAAAATGGTTTTGTTTTGTTTTTCTGATATTTTTTTCAAATTAATCGTTTAGAATGTTTACTGTCTCATAAGCAATCAGTAACTGGATATTAATGGGGGAAAATTATCAATAGATTCTCCTACATATACAATAAAACTTACCGATCTTAGTTACATCAAATGATGTGTAACCAGACAGAAAAATTGGTGTTCACTTAAGTTACTGATTTTTTATAGGAATCTAATGAATATGATATCTTTAAAACAACTAAATACTATAACATTACAGTTAAGTATCCTTAATTCTACAGATTTAATAGCACGACATTTTAGGTAATAATATAATTTGAAGAGATTTACAAACCAGGAAATTAGTTAACAAGAAAGTTGTAAATTATAAGATAGCCATGTGATTAACTAGGTTCTATACATTAAAACGTATTTTTTATCACTGATAAAAAATAAACCTGAATTTAGTTCATTAGTTTTTGTTATCCTTAGATTAACTCCATTAAACAAAAATGATTATTAAACATAGCTCCCCATATAATCACGTGTACTGTATACCGTTGCCAACCTTATTGTAAAACGATGAAACAAGAGAAAATCCATACATGAAATGTGTTTGAAGTATGCGTCTCATGTGTACGACACACGCACACACACTAACAACCTACTTAAGTTATGAATCACTTTATGTATAGAAATAGACATGTATAAAATGCAAATAAACAGACACAAAAAGCCGGAAATTCATACACCTTTACAGAAAACATACACAATAATCGAATATGGTTAGAAATGAAGGTTTAGGACAGATGTCCGTGAATTCATAGCACTTGAATTTCTTAAGGTTTTTAGTATATTTGCAATAAATAACATGGTTTCTGTTCAGTTAATGAGCTCATGTTATCTATAAGAACAAACTTTTCATTAGCTGTTATCTTGTCAGTATGTTGCAAATAGAGATGTTAATAGCTCTGAATTATTTTAAAAGTATTTTGAACTTCCATTCCTAGTTTCATGTTTATATCAACGGTAAAAAAAAAACTGACATAATTGTATGGTCTATTGATAAATGAAGAGAACGCTAATCCACTTTACTAATAATAGCACCTGATAATGAGTGTATACATGAATGATTTTACGAAAAACAAACTACAATAATATTCCCTTTCTTGGGAAAATTCAACAAGATGATCAAGGCTTGATAAGAGAAAAAAGAAGACGAACAGTTGAAGATTTAATTTATTTCTTACAAAAATTAGACTAACACATTGCAATCTACAGTTTATTACCGATTTAAGTGCACTAATTAACAGTTCGAACGGTTTAACGTTTTAAATAACTGCTATTGAATCACGCTCATCACAAGTAAATCAATAACTTATTCTGTACAGTAGTGATATTAATTTTGAAAGTGTCATAATTAACACTCACAACAGATATACTAAATCATATGCTTATTTCCAATTCATATCTTTCAAGGTTTTAACAGCTGAATGTATAGTATTAAATAGTAGTTCACTAAACCAATAAATAATACTCGAAGGATTTCTGAGTTGCATAAACAGTAATATCAGAGTTGTATTATTTATTCGTGTTTGGAACTCAACAAACGGATTGTAACACGCAAATTTACCGTGTTTCATCAACACTGTAGCGAATATTATATTGCAATAAATGAGTTAAGTAAAAATAGATTTCAGTTCTTGGAAAATCAAATAACGCAATCATTGGATACCGACCACTTTTTTTACAGTGAAGTATCTATAACAGATGACACTGTTGTGCTATTTCAAGAATTGAGTAATGTAATGTAGAACCCTGGATTAAGTTATTGCCATGAACTTAGAAGGCTCTATGTTTGCAACTGTGAGGAGTCCCAAATTGGAATGAGTAACATGTTCAGTTCAAATATTTTCCAAATGATCTGAGAGTATGACAAATCTTATCGTTGAAATCTTAGAAATCTTTAACTACCTAAAATTTTTTAAACTTATTACACAAGATAATAAATAGTTAAGAAGAACATTGAAAATAAGGTGACTTTTTCATCGGTGTTATTATTGTTAAGTTATTATTGAATTCATAAGTCAAGAGAATTTATTCAAAACATCGAATTTACGGAAAATAATCCCAAACGTAAAACATATCTCAGGTTTGAAGCTTAATTTATACATAATTGGTCTGTATTGTTTTGTATTTGGATTGTAAGAAATCAGCTGCCGCGTGTACTTCGATTTACTCAGTTTGAGCAATAATCTGTAAATTTAAGAAGAAAACAAATGGATATTATCACACTTTGGGTCTTTTTCATTTAGATAAACACTGGCTTTATATCAAGTTAAATTCAGACTTATGAAGAGTGGAAGATTACGAAACCAAAAGATATTCTCAGATCCGAACATTTTTAAATGATGTAGAAAGACCAGTAAGTTAGGTATAAGTAAAAGATAGTTAATAAAAAAATATATATACAAGGTTTTAAAATGCAGATCTTTACCTTATCATGAGTAATTAAGTGTGTTTACGAGACTACAATTTATCATTTACATAAGTACTGTAAAGTAGTCGATCTTTTGAGGAAGCGACCTATGGATGTATGTATCTCCCGAATGATACAGAAGATTTCTGTCCTATCTTTATCAGTAAAAAGTTTAACATTAACAGTTTCAATGAGACATTCAGGCATATTCTATTTTACCACAGTTTGTTGTAGTTAATCGGAGAGCATTGAAAATTATAGATTACTGCATAGTTGCTTCTGTTTCTTTCGTTTTCTAGTCCATCAACATTACAGAGGTTTCAGTGTTTGTTAGTGTTAACGGAAAACAAAACATCCGAATTATCTGAAACATTTGATCATGTATTTATTCAAGAGTGATTGGTTCAAATAATCTAACTTCAAGTAGTAAGCCATTTACAATATGAATGACTCTTCTGGTTTACGGTCTACATTATAATTATGAAACTTATACTTTTGACTAAATGTAATTATAACCAACAAACCATTGGGTCTTTTCATGATTTAAAAAATCTAAGTTATCTGAATATTATTTACAATGAGAGGTGAGAACCCTTATTAACTTATTTTTTCTAAAAGCAGCATTAAGTTCATAAGCTTTATATCTTGTGGGTTCAATGAATTTACACAATCATCTGAAATGCTAACCTGTCATATAACTTGGTGAATAAATCCTATGGTTTACCGATTCAGTGTTTCATGAATTATCAAGGGCCTTTACCACTCAATATTTACATTAATAATCAACAATCCCTGTACGACCAGTAAACGCTAAAGAGACAAAACACTTCTATAAAAAATC